GAATAGAATAGAATAGAATAGAATAGAATAGAATAGAATAGAATAGAATAGAATAGAATAGAATAGAATAGAGAATGGACTGGAGTGGAGTGGAATGGATTGGAATGGAATGGAACAGAACAGAGAATAGAGTGGAGTGGAGTGGAATGGAGTGAAACAGAACAAAACAGAAGATAATTCTTTATTGGCTAAGTATGATTAGAGACACATGGAATTTGCAGTGCGTAATCTCTCAATGTACATACAACAACAGTGATATCATTCACATTGTCATTGTAAAATACATTCATCATAAAACATTAGATACAATACTTAGTGATGGTCATAGGATACTAAATAAACAATCAACATAAATCATACTAGGATACTAAGTAAACAATATAAACCATAAGATGCAAACAACAACGTTATAGCCTTAAGAAGATAAGTATTAGGGAGGATGAGAATAATGATGGTCATGAAACATCTGCAAGAAAACAAGCAAGCTTAGAAAGCACCAAGGACCCTCATTTCAACTCTGAGTTACCAATATGCCCCATTATAGTTTCATACATCTTGTGGCACTCAACAAACCACCTTAAACCAACAGAGGAGCTTTGCATTTGTAAATACACCAAGAAACTTGGCAATAGGAATTGGTAAAAATACACAGGTATCCCAAAGCTTGAATGACACAAACCAACTGATATTTCATTTCAAGAAAACCACCAAGCTCAGAGAACATATATGTGTAAAGTCTCTTTTGTGTCACAGACGCCTCCATGGTGATATTTTTTTTAGTAACCGTGTAGAATACAGTGGTACCTCAATCATCATCCTCTTTTGAGGACTCCATAATCCCTTCTGGGGTGGAGTCTGAGCAACTGAATGGAGCTGAGTGTTTATTGGCCAGATGCCCTTCCTGTCACCAGTGTGGAGTTTTGTTGAGCAAATATATTCTCAGTGTGCCCAGAGAGAGAAATATCTGCCTCTACCTTACAGCCTCCTGCTTGTGAGGTGAGAACTTCACCTCTAGGCCACTGGTACCTCAGTGCTCCTTGTTAATTGGTTCTAGAAGGTGTAATGAGCACTAAAAACAATGAATACCAAACAAATTTTCTCCAAATAAAGGAATCTTTAGTGAGTGAGTCACAAGGCAGCTGACACAGACAAGTTTTAGCTTGTATGTTGAGTACCAAAACAAACAATGAGTACCGGGACAAAATGTTCATGTCAAAAATGCGTTGAGTAACAAATTTGATGACTTTCAAAGCAGTTGAGTACTGAGGTTCCACTGTATAAGCACACTGGAGAAATGGACCTCAAATCTGATGAAAATGCTAGCAGAGCTAGCATTCTGAGCCTTTGCCCCCTACAACAACCCAAAGGAGTGGAAAGTTGGTGTTACCTATTTTTTTTTTTTAGCATACTTGAAAGCCTTTCCCTTGCATGGAATCTCCAATCTATAACACAGTCCTTTCAACAGTTCCAAGAAGGCTCCATACCTACTTAGGTGACCTTGAGGACACAGATAAATCTGCAGGTGACCTTAACGACTCGCTAAAAGGATGCAAATGACCAGCTGTCTGCAAGGAGTATAAATCCTTCCCTTCCCCACCATCCAGTCAGAGCTGAAGAAGCTTATTGGATGAGAAGTGAAATGTCTTCAAAGAAAAACCAGAAAATCCTGATCTTGAAAAAAAAAGCACCTTTGGGATAACCATGACCTGGAGGGCTGAGAATCTATTCTATTCTATTCTGTTGGTAAACAAGACCCATGTTGTTGTTGAGAAAGCTTTTTTTTTAAAAAAAAAATAATAACAATTCAAGCCATACAGCTGTGTTCCTGGGAATGGAACCATTTCTTCCAGTGTAAACATCAGAAGTGTACAGGGCAGGGGGATGCAAGTTGACAGCAAATGGCTCAGGTTCACCCTTGTCCCAGATTGTCTTGACCTTCTCCTTATTTCTTCTCATCCACAGGCCCACTAAGGACCATTTCAGTATGGCTACTTCCTAGTCTAATATTTTCATAATTAGAGTTACAAGTCCTAGTGTAACATCTCAGTTTCTTTATATCATTGTCTCCACAGGGTTTTCGCCACCCGGAATGGACAGGTCATCACCCGACAAGAGTCCAGTGCATGGCCTTCTTCGTCAGCACTCCATTACAACGGGAATCGATATCCCTATTATTACTGAGTTAGGTAAGCTCTCTGGGGATCTTTTTACCTGTTTTCTTTTCATTTTTCCCAGCTGAAGGAATGCTTTATTTAGCAATAGCAATAGCACTTAGACTTACATACCACTTCACAGTGCTTTACAGCCCTCTCCAACCGGTTTATTGCCCCCAACAATCTGGGTCCTCATTTGACAGACCTTGGAAGGAAGGATGGAAGGCTGAGCCAACCTGGAGCCAGTCAGGATCAAATTCCTGGCAGTGAGCAGAGTCAGCCTGCAATATTACATTCTAACCATTGTAACACCATGAGCCTTCCTCCCTTCCCTTCCTCCCTCCATCTCTCTTTCCTTCCTTCCTTCCTTCCTTCCTTCCTTCCTTCCTTCCTTCCTTCC